GGATAACGTTACCTCGTCGATCGCTGCGCCTATCTTTCGTGACAGGGTATCACCAATCTTAAGTACCTCAGAGATGACTTGGTTCGCCTTCGTGCAATATGCGTAGCCGGAAGCACCTTTTCTCACTAGGGAAAGGGGTCCTAGCAGAGCGTCAAGGTTGCGTCCAGGGCCATATACGAAGACCTCCTGTTGTAGTGTATCGAAGTGTCGGCAAAGCCAGTCTTGTGTGTATGTATGCGATATGTATGCTATCCCCATTTTTGTGCCAGTGCTGTAGCTGTAGCTGTGCCCGTCGTAGGCGGAGCTGGCAAGCCAGGAACTTCGAGCTGCTGACAGTTCTCGGCAAACTACTGTTTCGCATGCTGCAACATAAACAGATAGTCGATGGTAGGGTAAAGCAGGCATGTGGTCGGTGCTGGATGTGCGTTGTTGTTCCAGGGGGCCTTTGGAAAGTACATGCTTTGCAGCAGCGAGGACGCGGGGCGTCAAGCCGTGTTCGACGGCGCTGAAGTAGGCATCTAGGGGACGCGATCGTGCTAGTTCATCCCAGAGCTCCTCGACGACGGTATGTGGACGTTCCATACAGTATCTTTCGGCCACAGATATCGCTCTAGCGAGGAGAGGGAAATCCAGTACCGGACGCGCTTTGTCGCCGTAGCAAATCGATAGCAGCAGCGACAGGACTTGTGCATCCGTATCGAAAGAGAGAAGCGCTGGAAAAGAACCACGCATACTCGGTAGGCCGGGTTCCGGGCCCGCAGAGCCCGCAGACTCATGAGCCCCAGCGCCCTCCGGGCAAGCATCTGAGTTGAAACGGCGCTTGAGTGTATCGGAGTGCAGAGCGAGGATGGCTCCATGGACTGGGAACTCAGCCCCGTCGGAAGAACGACAGATAATATCCGGATACGGTATATCGGAGGTAAATAGCACTTGAGCCTCAGGAGTTGCGCCGCCAACAATGCAGACGGTACGCCGCTCAAGAAAGCGAAAGTCAGGGTCGACCTGGCCTTTCTTACTGAGGAACTCCTTCAACTGCAAGTATTCTCCTACTGAGATGCCTTCCAACACTTGTGAACCCTCGGCATCGATTAGCTTTGCAAGGTCAGGGTCCAAGGTAGAGTTGTCGGAGGGGATGAGGGAATAAGCAGCTTTGCGAGCGAACATCTCGAAGCCGCAGCGACAGGCAGCGGCCCACATCCGCAATGGAGTGGTGAAGGTGCAATTAACAACCGCCTTCTCGAGTTCCCTCGTGAGGTACGCGGTGGGCCAGTCCATCTCATATTTCTTCGCAGCACGAAAGATGGAGAACGCGACGTTAAAATCCTCCAGTTCGACCTTGGCCACAGGATAGCAGAGACGCAAGAGCGCGTCCAAGACAGTGTGATCCTCGGGGAGGTCCACTACAGGACGAGGCGGAGCGTTGGCCGCGATCTCGTCGTGCGTAGTCGCCGGCTGAGGTAGTTGGAGCATCGTGCAAAAGACGGGGGAAGCGATAGCTAGGACTGCTTTGTGAACTTGGAATTCGACACCATCGGAGCTCCGGAGGGTGAGATCGGCAGAATCGAGGTCGAATGGATAGGATGCAACGCGGCTGGCAGTCTGTTCCGCCAAAACCTGAGCGGTTGGGGTGTCTGTCATCGTGCAGATGGATCGGGATGTGATTGAAACGACTCCTAGATGAAACCTGGGTAAGAGATGAGTTGTTGAGTGAAGACGGCTGAAAGGCGTACCGCAGGAGAATAGGACAAGAGTGGGGAAGATGCGCGTTCTATCGAGGATGAAGCAACGATGCACAAGCTGGTTTGGAATTCAGCTGCAAGGAGCAGGCGTTACCGCAGCACAGAGACGCGCTACACCTCGAGGACCATGAGCAAACAATGATGAAGGGCGAAGCGAGCCGAGTCGTCCGGCGCGTGAGAAGCTTGGTCCACATCTCCAATCCGAAAAAATGTCGATAAGCTGCACGGTACATGTACAAATGGGACATCTCTCCGAAGTAACGCACAATGAAGGGAGCCATAGACCACTTGGATTGAGGATCGCGCCAGTACCACGCGCCCATGTGACCGGCACGCCTCGTTGGCCAAAGTGGCACAGGCGCGTCCACAAAAGACGCCCTAGGAAACGCCTCGCGGTTATCTCTACTCATACCACAACCACTAACAGCGCCGTCCGGCGAGCCCTGTGTGTATCCTTTTTAAAAACACACCAAGTTTCTCTGCAATCAACCCACGCGCTGGTCAGTATTTAGGTCCAGACCTTTGCAGCCACTAAACGGCACTGACCGTATCCTCATACTCGCCTTAGCCACCATGACTTCTGCAGCCTCATACTTCCCTACGTCTCAGTTCCCCGGTCACTCTACCGCTCTACCTATCCATGCGCCTAGGCCCTCGCGACCTCGTCAATGCTTCGCGGCCATCCTTGATTGGGTAGGAGACGTCGATGGCACTCAGCTCGAGATCTACAGCAACGAAGGCGTATCAGTGAGTGATCGGTCGCAAATCATGCTCTGTACACGGACTTACGAGACGTCTGTGCTGCTCCAGGCTATGCGCCAGTATGTGGAACATCAGCCCACACGATACGAGCGCAACGATCGTCCGAGTCGACGCATTGCGGGGACCAAGCGAGATCATGCCGTAGCGTCACCTTGGCCTCCGTTCAAAGCACCCCGCCTCCTTATCCCGGAGCAGGACATCACCACAACCCTGCAGATGACCTCCCAGACGGTAAACCCACACTTCTTGACCCATCGGCCGTCGGTACTCCTCCCAATAGGCTCGGAGAGGGGCTCCAGACAACATGGAGCAGCGTCCACACGCATACGCCACGAGGCGAGCACCAGCGTCCTCGTCCCCGTAGCGCCCTTCGACATGGACGCGGACGACGAGATTGATGCCTCCGAGGTGTTGCGTTGGGTCGAAGCGATGGAGAGGGCGCATCTCGCCCGGCTGCTCAGCATCCTCTTGGACGGTCACGGCGCGTCTGAACAAGGGACTTTCAACCAACGCGAGCACGGTGTTTGGTCGATCGAGATGGGGAAACCAAAGGAGAATTCGGGGAGGATAGCTCAAGTTGCGAGCAGCGTAGCGGGTGGACGGGACCGTGGGAGGTGGTATGTTGAATGCGGTGGATAGACAGTCGACGGACTAGTTTCGTAGCGGTCGAATTGATGCTCTGGTACCCTGTGTGTCGCTGCCATTCTGCGATGTCCAGGTGGACCGTAGAATCGGCCGCTAATCTGTTATTTTCCGGGCAGTGAGATACCATTGTTCAGCAATAGTCCGATAAGAGCGAACAAAGAGCAAGTTGAACTCACTATCCTCCGGCCTAATTCCTTCGCGCCCATGTGACTAACACGCGTCGTTGTTTGTCGCGCGAGTGGCACACAACTCCGCGAAGACGCGGTCATCTCGCGAGGCGCCCTTCAAATTCAACTCGCGCTTTGCCTCTTGCTTATCCATACAACTTGACTGTGTGCCACAACATCCTCCCCCGCATCCGCGCCTGTTCCCGCTCGCTTTATCAGCGATCTCCAGAAAGGCCTACATCACGCGTCCTGATACTCACATTTCACGTCCGATACATCAACCTTTTCTGCGCATCGAGACGACAATCATGCAAGCCCAGTCGAGCTCCGTCCATGCGCCCTTCAACCGCATCCACCCGCTCCAAATTCATTCGCCGAGGCCTTCGAGAACCCGGAGTAGTTACGCTACTGTCCTGGGCTGGGTCTATCGAAGCGTTGAACCGATGATGCCTAGAGAAGTGAACCCTCCGGTGAGCTTGCCAGCGGATGTGGTGTCAAGGGAGAACGGGCACTCACGTTTTCCATCTAGTATTGGCGAGGAGGGGGTGTACATACTCAGCACCTGATCGCATGCCATCGTGAAGCACGATGGTCGTACGATTGGTACAGATACGACCTTGCGCGCGTAGAAGAGCCTTCCAGCAGCGTCGCTCCGCCCTGGCCCCCCTTCAAGGCGCTGCCGCCACGTCTGTCCGACGCAGAGGAGTCACCAAAGGCGTATGGGACTGCGCTCACGCCAACTAGCGAAGGCGTGCTGTCGGCCGGGGGAAAAGCCAGCCTGAGCCTCCCTCTTGGAGGCGTCAGCCAGCCGCGGGTGTCGAGTTTCGATGGCGTATGGGTTGGCGCGCGAGGAATGCCAGAGTTGCAAGATGGTTCCGTTGATCCAAGGTCATCACTTGAATCGCAATCCGCGTTAGAAGGTGCATCGGTAGCGACATCCTCGTTTCCGGAGGGTGACGTCGCAACGCTTGTCATGGGCCTAGACGTCATTCCACAAAGCGAATCAGACAATGTAGTATACACGGCATCCACCACTTCGAGCAGTGTCGGATCGATGTCGAATGGCGACGAGGAAGGACGGTGGACTGGCGCGATGCTTGGAAATGGGGTGACGCCCCAAGGGCTGAGGCGGGAATAGGACGGGATGCCAGGGTATCGCCAAGGGTACGTTTTCTTGACCGATGCAGAACCCTGTGTCATGCTGAGCAACTTTATAGGAGGTCAGACTGTCAAGAGCCATTGGCATGCCGATGCCACAATGGGTGATCGCGAGCTGACTCGGATGTGCGGCTCTACCGCGTTTTGTATTGGTTGAACTCTTTGTCAACACACAACAAGTACTACAGGGATCTGCATGGTCGCGTCAGCTCGAGTGCACTGGCAATGGAAGGTGCGGTTATAGCGTTTACCTCGTCGAGAACTTGAAGCTTCTTTGTTCTTGAGGCCTCCGCACCCACCCCTGCTCATAAGAGACGCAAAGGGCTTCAGTGCAATGCACACAAGTCCAGCATTCACATTGGCCATTGATGTGCAGACGCAGGCCCTAGTCGAGTTCAGTACGCTTGAAGCAAGTGGCGGTACGTATACGACGCGGCCGTACCCGCATGCGCAACCTCAACCGTCCGGGTGGTCTTGACATTTGCTAGTCACCATCAGGCCGAGTCACAACAAAATGCTCCACATACACGGCCCAATGGTCTAGTCGTATGATTCGCGCTTCGGGCTGAGCAAGATGCGCGAGGTCCCGGGTTCAATTCCCGGTTGGGCCCATTTTGTTTTTTTACGTGGAACAGTTGACGTCATCTGTAAGAGTGAGACTGGGTGCAGCCACCGACGATGACGCGCACCCACTCCCGATTCCAGTACCGTCATTGCCAGAGCTGAGAGAAGATAACCTCCTTTTGCATCTTGTCGTATATCATTCACTGCCTTTGTACAACCTCATTCACTTGCTACGACCGACACGCCCACAATGCCCGTTCCCAAGCACATCCTAAACCAAATCAAAGCCATCATCCCTCCTCTCAACGGCTCCTTGCACAAGGGTCAATCTGGTCGCGTCGGCGTCCTCGGAGGCGCGCTAGAGTAAGTATTACCTCTGCCAATACAGTAGGGATCGCAGCTGAATAGCCTTTAGCTACACGGGTGCACCGTTCTTCGCCTCGATATCCGCCCTGCGTATAGTGGGTCGGTTCTACTTACTCCGGTTGAGATGAGTGCTAATTGTCTACTCGCAGGGTGCAGACCTTTCCCATGTCATTTGCTCTCCAACCGCGGCTGGTGCCATCAAGTCATACTCTCCCGATCTCATCGTACATCCCATCCTGCGTGAAGACCAGTGCGTATCCTCATACTGATACAACCACACGGACTGACTTGCTACCTTCCTCGCTACAGGACCACAGACCAAGTCAAGCCCACGCTCGACTCCCTCCTCTCCCGCCTCCATGTGCTCATCGTCGGGCCCGGGCTCGGCCGGGAAGACTACATGATCAACTACGCAAAACTCGCGGTCAAGATCGCGAAGGAGCAGGGCATGTACCTCGTCCTCGACGCCGACGCGCTCTGGATGATCGGCCAGGACCTCGAGCTCATTCGCGGATACCGCCGTGCCGTCCTCACACCGAACGTGATGGAATTCAAGCGGCTGAGCGAGAACGTCGTATGTCGACCCAATCGCACAATAATACGAACACGGGAACTGATAGCGGATGATGGCCAGAAAATCGACCCGGGCATCCCGCCTGAAGAGCGCGCCATGCACGTCTCGCGCGCCTTGGGCGGCGTGACCGTCCTGCAGAAGGGCGCGTCGGACATCATCTGCACGAACACCGGTGAAGCCAACAAGGAACAAGCAGAGCTCAACAAGGTATGTCCGGAGGTCACTTGTGTCCCTCTAGCAGCATGCTTACACGCCTGCAGATCAAAGAAGGCGAGAGTACGGAGGAGCGCGTCGTCGTCGACGTCCCTGGCGGCTTGAAGCGATGCGGCGGTCAAGGTGACATCTTGAGCGGCACCGTCGGTACCATCATGGCGTGGGGCAAGTGCTTCGAGAGCGGCGCGTTTGGGTCAGTATTTCCGCGTTTGGTGCTTCTGTTTCGGAGCTAACATATGCCCTGTGTGCAGCGATGGCTCGATTCCACCATCTCGCATTCCGCTGCTTGCGGCCGTAGGTGGCTCAATGGTCACGCGGACGGCGTCGCGGCATGCATTCAGCAAGCGCGGCCGGGGTAAGTCTCGTTATATCCCAATGGGCCGGAGAAGGGATTGACTGACAAGCCCAACAGGTGTCGTCACACAGGACATGATCCCCGAGATCGGCGGCGCCTTCGCCGAGATCTTCGGGGAAGGCGAGAAGGGCTGGGGCGCGTCCACGAGCGAGGGCAAGTTGTGAGAGCGTAGAGGATGATACTCAATAGAAGAATATAACCAATTGTATAACATGCTATATAGGACGTCCACATCTGTACGAGATTCATCATTGACTATCGATACACTCAGCAGGCGCGATGCCCAGACCGTATCAGCTCAGCGGCGCGCTCAGCAAACGCGTAGATCATCGCTTGTGGGTGGCCTGCAGGGACGAACGGCTGTAAAGAAAAAGACCAGTACGCGTCAGCCGTGGTTCTGGCCATCTATTCCGTTGATGCCCAAATCCGTTACTCACGAAGACGCTCGCATCCACTACACGCAGACCCTCGACGCCCTTCACCCTCAAGTCCGGGCCGACCACGCTCCCATCCCCGCCCGCACACGCGCCCATGCGCGCGGTGCTCGTCGGGTGCCAGATCGTCAGGGAGTGCTCGCGCGCATACGCATCCACCTCCTCGTCCGAGGACAGGTCCACCCCAGCGATCCCGGTGCCGGGCGTCGGCCCAGTCACGAAGCCGTCCCACGCACGGGCGGACATGAAGCGATCGACGGCGCGGATGCCGTGCCGGGCGGCGGCGATGTCGAAGGGCGTGTTGAGCAGGTTGGGGTTGATGATGGGGTGGGCGAAGGGGTCCGCGGAGGAGAGCGTGATGTTTCCGCCTAAACATTGGATGTGAGAGAAGGTGAGGTGAGGGAGAGTGAGGATGCAGTGGTTGGAATGGGAGGGCACGTACGTGATGTGGGCGTCTCTATTACCACCGCGGTGAGTGTGTAGTACCCTGTGGGCGGGATGCCGAGGAATGGGAACAGGCCGGGCTATACGTCAACAGTATCAGTGATTTCCGGATTCATAGTAAGGACAACAGCCCGCGAGCGCTGCCATACATCGCACAATATGAGGAACGGAAGCAGCGATACGCACCAAAGGGATGTACTCGAGATGTGGAGAGGTCGGACCCGAGCTCGGATCGGGCACGGTCTCGAAGATGCTATCATCCTCCGGGAGGCGAAAGAACGCCAGCTGGCTATTCGCCGCGTTCGTCAAAATCCCGCTCCGGCTCGTCTGCCACTCGGACAGCGCCTCGCCGGCATACGTCTCGTTCCTGTTGAGGTTCGTGAACACGTCGTCGCCCGGCGCGCTCGCGTTGTACACGAGCGTGATGACCGGGTGGTCGACGAGGTGCTGGCCGACGTCCGGGAGGTCGACGGTAGTGGGGATGCCGAGCGAGGAGAGCTGCGCGGAGGGCCCGATCCCGGAGAGCATGAGCAGCTGGGGCGTGTTGATCGACCCGGCGGCGAGGATGACTTCTCGGGTCGCGTTGAGGGTGTACCGCGGGGCTGTGAAATAGTATGCGAGATACGAGTGAGTAATATCACGATACGACAGAACACAGAAGCCGCAATTGGGCGTACATGAACTCGACTGCGCAAATTCGACACCGAGGAACGTCGGCTTGTCCTCGCTGACGCCAGTTTGGATGAGCCTCGTCACCTGCGTCTCTACTAGGACATCGAGGTTCGGGCGGGATAGTGCTGGATTGAGGTACGCCGTCGCTGCATCGTTCCGGATCCCGTTCCCGGTCGCGCCTTGGAGCCAAGCTGCAATCCCCAAAAGGTTCAGTGAGATGATCTGAGTCTCACACCAACTTAAGCTCGTACCTAGTCCGAGCGGGTTTCCAGTGTTGTAATCCTCAATAAATTGGAAGTCGCCACCTACCTCCTTCGCAGCGCTGATCACAGGCTTGTCGGTCGGGAAGCGCACGTTGGGTACAGTGATATTGACGGCGCCCCGAGTGCCGTGGATGGCGGGGTCGACCTCCCCAGTCGTGTCGCGGCCATCGACAGGTGGAACAAGCCGCTCTACCTGTCACATTCGCGCCAGTCGATCGTGAGCACAACAGCACCGGGCAGTAGCGAGAGATACAAACCTTCTGCCAGAAACGCAGCATCGAGATCCACGACCAGCCCTCGTCTCCCGTTATGTCGGCGATCTTGTCATAGTCGTCCTGCGGGCAGCGGACCCAGAACATCCAGTCTGCAGAAAGACACAAGATCAGTCAGCTGTCAACGGAATGCACGAGCGCGCAGGACATATTGCTTACTGATGGCGCTGCATCCGCCGAGCACTTTGCCTCGGGAGTAGGGCAGGGTCCGCAAGTTCATTCCTGGCTGAGGAACTATGGTGTAGTTCCAGTCGAATGGCGAACCGGATTGGATATCCGGGACGAGCGCGGGAACTTCTAGTTCGAGGGCGTCTTTTCCGCTAAAGGGCAAGGGCAATTAACGACATGAGCAATCTTGCATGATGTCAATGTAGGAGCTTACGTTGGACCAGCCTCGATGACAAGGACGTTGACAGAAGGGTCCTCTGAAAGGCGCGCTGCGACGGTGCTTCCTCCTGGGCCAGATCCGACGACGATGTAGTCGTACGCGTTCCCGTTCGGGAGGAGGGCAGGGTCAGTGACCAGAGCAGCCCATGTTGACGTAGTAGCCAACGTCAAGGCTGCGACAGTAAGTAGGACGGTCATGGCGCAACAGATGACAGAGGACAGGGCAGCTGCAAGTGCATACACCACGAAGGGCACGACATCGATGCTCGCGTTTTATACTATTCAAAGTTTGCGCTCGGCTCCGTGGATTTTCGCCCCCGGATCGGCGGCTCGACATTGCGTTGGAAGGATAGTGCGCGGATCGAGATGATGTCCTATGGGCGCCCCGGAAGGATAACACCGGTGACGATTTACAGGTTGTTCAGTTCGCGACGTCGCAATGAAACGTCGCTAGCGGGACGATGGGAATATTGAACAACACCCGCGGTCCACGGGGCGGCACTTCTGGGCGTGTATATTCAGTTTCTTGGTGAGAGGCGCTTACCGAGACGGTGTGCTGCAATGGATGCATCGATTGAAGGCTCAGCTGATCACGGCAGCAAAGCGTTTATTGACTACGCGCAAGCAGGTTTTGTAGCCGTAGCGGGAACGTTGCATAATGGGCCCATGTCTCCGGCCGCAAGATGTTCAGCCGGAAAACTGGATTGTACTATGCTCCATGGGATTGACTGAGTGTAGGCCAACGCAATCCGCTGCTGATGGAACGCCCACGCGAAAAGCGTGATCACCGTCTTTGTAAAAGGTACCTGTAGATGCATTGTGAGTGTCGTGTTCATTGTATCGCGCATATGTGTGTGGATCACCATTGATGGACGAATAATGGCCATGCTTCAGTAACCATTCCGAGACTTACGCTGGAACTTGAAGTCATAGACCGCATTGCGTCACATTAGCCACACGGCCTAGGGCCTGCCAGTGTTGTTTCGTCGAGCGGTTCGGAATATAAAGACGTTGCCTTGGCTTATTATAGCGAAGATTGGACAGGGATTGAGAGCAGTCAGCATTCA